GTTTTGAGGGGAAATGTTTGCTGTTCGTTAAAGCACCATAATATGAATCTGGCCCTCTTGATTGCCCCTAGTAGTAACTTTTTCAACCTTTACAACTATGGCCTAATTCATATTATGTCATGCTTCAGTTACATTACCGAACAGGAGTAAGTTCCAGGAGCAGCTTTCTATGTGAGCAGTAAATATTGAGACTTTGGGAAGTTTTGCAATATTGTTTAATTTACATTTATATACACTGGGCATGGTAGATTAGCATACCCCCCCCAAAAAATGGAGAGAAAACTTTGGGGCACCCCACACCATCCCACTGAAGCTGTTGCTCGCCGGCTTGCCCCCTCCCTGCCGCTGACCCCTTGTAGGTTCCACGCCTTTACCCACGGTTCTGTTTCCTTGGAATGAAGGATGGTGGAGCATGTTATGTCCTTACAATATATGCTTTACTTACACAGCATTGACACCCCAGAAAGGTCTTGCTTCTCACATAGCCACAGCTATGGGAATCAAACAGGAATCCAGCATAGCTCTGTCTCTCCCAGATGTCCAGCCTACCACTTCTCACTTCTAGTTCTCACACATAACTCCCAACTCTGGCCTTTGTCTTTCTAACTACCAGGGCTTTTTTTCAGCCGTAAATCACTTCCGGCACCTCTAAGGTGGGTGCCATTGCCATTATAAGAGAACAATGGTGAGTTCCAGCACCTCTTTTTCTAGAAAAATAGCACTGCTAACTATCATTTTTCATCTGGCACAGAGCCACTTCCTTTGTTCCTTTAATGGCCCAAATTTAGAGGGCCTGGCTATTCCAGGAATTAAATCCATGCTGGATCCAGAAACTAGAAGGGGGCTCAGGTATACAATCTACCTCCCACAAACTCATAGCAATAATGTATTATAGTAGTACCTCGAGTTAAAAATGCCTCAGGTTACAAACGCTTCAGGTCACAAACTCCACTAACCTGGAAGAGTTACCACGAGTTGAGAACTTTGCCCCAGGATGAGAACAGAAATTGTGTGCCGGCAGCGCAGTGGCAGCAAGAGGCCCCATTAGTGAAAGCACGTCTCTAGTTAAGAACCGTTTCAGGTTAAGAATGGACCTCTGGAATGAATTAAGTTCATAACTAGAGGTACCACTGTAGATCCAAGAGACGTACTAGCCTTTCCTTGCATGCAGTGCAGCTTGAATGTTTGTATTACTGTTTCCCCATATAACCACTTAACGGCTGGGGTAGACAGCCTTAGAGCAGCATTTTTGTAGATTGAGTAGTACATTGGGGGCTGGGATGATAGATAGTCCTGTGCTGCTTATAGCCAAATGCACATCTCAAGGATGTACTAACATATTTAAGCATTCTTGTTCTTCCACTGTTCAGCCAAAAAAGTCTTCAGAGTGACTTATGGGTCAGTCTTTTTAAAAACCAAGGCAATCCCAGTCCTCAGGTTTACACAATGAAAGTAGAAAATACTGTATAAAACAACTTTTATTGGAAAAGTTCTGCCTAACAGCAACTATTTCCAAGAACATTAAACTTGAAAAGCAACAGAAACCAGACAAACTTTAACAAGAAACTAATGACCTTCTATATGAATAAATAAAACAAAATAAATGCAATTACACATTCAAGTTTTGTGCAATGCCTTTGTGTACAAAGAGGGAAAATCATAGTTCTACAAGCTCATCATGTCAGTAAATATTTTATACAATTAGGTTTCTCAAGGATTATTAAAACATGTGAACAGAAAATGTGTGAGAGAAATTGCCATTGTATCTTATTCATTCTTCCATCATTTGGCACTTGTTTTCTGTCAGTACTTCTGTTTCCCTGTCTACAGAAAATAATGGCACAGTGTCCTTCATTTATTGTGGATGAATTTACCATAAATGAGGGAAGTCGTAGAGAAATAGATAAAGATGTCAGATACAGAGTTCATAGGGGGGCTGCTAAAAAGATATGGTAACTAAATAGGCAGATGCTTCAGAATGATGGGTAGCACTGTGGACAGCTAGGTTCACAGATGCTATAGATGGGCCAATAGTTGCACTGGGTAGAGTAGTCCACTAATGTGCTTGATGGACAGATGCCATAGACCAGTAGATAGAGCAAACGACATTTGCTGTAAAAGCCTCTGATGCTAAATGGACTGTAGTTATTATTATTATTATTGCTGCTGCTCTCAAGTTGGCCTCCTGCTCTTTCCATCATGTGGCATTCCCCTTGGAAAGACGTGGAAGATTTTAGCTACAACCATCCTAGGCAGCAGCTGCAGAGCAAGCAATGCAGGTTCAGCGCCCGCTATGTGGTGTGCATTTGGTTTGTGTTTGCAAGAGACATCAGGCTGCTGGCCAGCTCTTCCGTGAGATCAGTTAACTCAGGGAGAAACAAGCTGGAGGTGTTTTTCCCCCTGCCTTAAAGGAAAATCTCCCTCTGCCGGGTAACTGTCCTTAGACACTTTTTCAAAGCTACAATGAAATGCAAGCTATATTTCTTTCTGCCGCTGTTGTGAACCTTTTACTGGCTTCAGAAATGCTGGAGTGACATTACTGAGGTTGCAGCAACAAACCTAAAAGCAGGAATTGGACTTCTTCGTCTCAGTGTTTGCTTGACCTGTACGTTCATGGTGGGTGGCAAGCAGGCATTAGCTACCTGGTTGGGGACTGTAAAACAATTTGAACTATTGCAGGAGTAGCTGAAGCTGCTGTTTTCCAAGGGCTGATTGCTTGTTGTTCACTCAGTATTTATAGGCTCTTCTGTAACAAAAAGTTATCAGGTCAGGGTGTACTCTGGTTTCTCTTCAGATCATAAAAAGCTATCAGGGCAACTTATGGAATAAAAACAAACATGTTAAAAACAACAAGTTAAGGAGTATGCTAATAAAATGTACAGAAAGGCCAATCCTCCGGGTACCATGAGTCCAAGCTATGAAGGGCCTTGAAGTGAAAAAGCAGCACTTTGAATTGGGCTCAGAAACGGAATGGGAACCAGTTAAGATGACAATGGCATATTTGTAATGCTCAGGCCCTAACTGTTCCCCTGCGAAAAATTTCACCTCACGTCACTATTCTGGGGAGATTGTTGCGGGGGCCTGGTTGCCTTATCAAGCATATATACATTTTCCCTCAAGGGGAAGGATTCCCTGAAAGGAAGCTACATTGTAAGGTAGTGTCCTTACCCAGAGCCATTTCATCTCACAATGCCTTTGGGAAAGTGGCACCAATTACAGTGGTACCTCGGTTTTTGAACGTAATCCGTTCTGGAAGACTGTTCGAGTTCTGAAACATTCAAAAACCGAAAACTCAATAGCCAACAGCTAGGCCTCAGGATCTTGCACTTAGTGGAAGCCATGTGGCATGTTCAACTTCCGAGGCATGTTTGAAAACCAAAGCATCTACTTCCGGGTTTATGACGTTTGAAACCTGAAATGTTCATCAACATAGATGTTCAAAAACCAAGGTACCACTATATTTCCTACAACGGGAAAATCTGTTTTAAAAAGAGAACTGGGTGAAAGATAAAGCTCTGCTACCAAAATCCCTTAAGCATGACTGGAAAGCCCTCTTTAGCCATAGATGTGGTGGAATCTTCTGAAAATCCCAATGTCTAATTTATCTACACAGATTCCCCCCCCCCCTAATTCCTGTATCTCACCTTCATCTTATCAGCCAACCTTTTTTTCTCTGGTTCTGCTAAGACCACGAACAATTCCTCCATATTATATGCATATGTACTCCAGGTTTCCTAAAATAACCAGCACATAAACAGATACATATTACGATGCAAATAACGATATAAAAATCATATGTATCATAATCATACAGTTGGAAGGGACCACATGGGTCCTCTGATCCAACCGACTGCAATGCAGGAATCTTTTTGCCCAATGTGGGGCTCAAACCCACGACCTTGAGATGAAGAGTCTCGTGCTCTTACTGACTGTGCTGTCTTGTTGTGGGTAAAATTATACTGCAGAAATATAGTATAGCATGAAGCCTGTCCCTTTTATATATATTATGCATATAATATACATTTCTTGCATATAATTTTGCATAAATACAGTTGGTTTAAAAAAAAATGACAATGCATGAACAACTGAGACATAGGCAGGATTTCAAAACAAGAGGTGTTCTGATGTGAACAAAGCTTGATCGGTTTGGAACCAACGAATTATGAGTATAGATTTGTTTAAAATGGGCTCCTCCTCCATCCCTGCCTGTGTGCAAAGTATGTTTCCAGTCCCCTGTGACCTTTGTTCCTCCAACACTGTGACCCCCCAGACACCTGAGAGATTCCTTTTGTCTCCAGTGTCTTAACCCATTCTCCCTCACTACCCCAATGCCTGGAAATCCTGCGCAGAACACCCTCATGGTTCCATCTTATTTTCTTCAAATCCCTCCTCGGATCCCAAAGGGATACTTACCTCAAGCTGAAGTGGAACCCAAGTGTGCATAATTGAATTTGCCCCCCACTCCTCCTTTGCTTATCTCAAATCCCATTTCTCTCTTTTGTTTGTTATCTGAACCTCTCTCCTGCACACCGCTGCTGAAAGTTAGATTTTGAGTTCCTCGCGTCAGAAATCTATTTTTCTCGCTTTTGGGTATGAATGGTGCCGTGTGTGTGTGTGTGTGTGTGTGTGTGTGTGTGTATTCAATTCTTCACTTTCCACTTATTCGTGAAGGATAGGTATTCCATCTCCACACCTTTTTCTGGCCCTTTAATATACACAATACATATCTCTTAGATCCAGTTGTAACAGCATGCAATGTGGCCTATACCAGCAAGCTCTGAGATCTGAAACAGGAGCCTGATTTGGCCACAATCTAATCCATACTTTAGACTAATTAAAAACAATGAGATTATTCACAACTTGCTTGATTGTGGGGCTGGTGTGCTGAAATTGATGGGATACACAAGAGGGTTTGTTGATGAGTTAAGAGGTGCCATGCTAAAATGCACTTCCAAAGTTCTTTGTGTCATGCCTTTCTTGTCTCTTTTTTTTTTTTTAAGGATATTATTTTGAAATTCCCTCCATTGGGGCCATCCGAATCAACACACAGGTAAGGAAACGAAACACAATTTGTCCAAACATATAATTTAAAGTACCTTTACTGGCATCTAACCTGACCTTTTGCCTAGCATAGGGCAAAAAATGTAATCAAGATTATTATTTCTGATTAGGTTGGGATGTATATTGTATGCCCATTTTTTCAAGACTGCATTCGCTATAGAGCCTGTAATGGCCAATAATACCGTACTCAACTACCGTCTTGCTAAACATCTGCTCTATCTGTTAGGGAAAACCCAGTCTCTACTCCTTGGGTATTCTGAAGGAATTACAGAACATGAGGGGGATAAGAGCGGACGAGAGAAAATTGCGTGCCTTTTCAAATCTGGCTCTTGAGAAAAAGCGAAAAATGTTGCTTACAGCCTCGTACCTTCTCTTAGGAGACATTTTCATGTCCCTCTCGAAACGGCTCAACATCCCACTTAATGCAGTTCTGAGTTCAGCATTCAACAAAAACTCAAGTGCTGACATTGCACCCTCACATGTCCCTAGGAGCCGCCGCCAAGGGAGAGTGTCAGCCTAGTTATCAGTGTGCATTCTGCCAAATATGTGACTGGCTTTATTCTATCGAACCGGGGGGGGGGGAGGATATTGCCTTATAAAAATAAAGAGATGTCTTTCAGCCAGTCAGAAATCATTGGTCCATGTAGCAGCAGCCTTGAGGTCTCCGGGAGATGTCTTTCCTAGCTCTGCTACCAGGAATCTTTTAACTGGAGAGGCTGCAGAAGACGGAACCTGGGATTTTGTCCATTCGCACCATCTGTGCTCTCCAACTGAGCTGGAGCATAGCTGTCAACTTACAGATTTGAAAATAAGGGACCAGCAGCCTTGAAAATAAGGGACCAGCAGCCAAAATAAGGGACCTGCAGCCTCACCTGTTCCAGGCACTCCAGTCTTCCTGTCCTCCTGCAGTCTGATCAAACTCGTGCTGGGTAGCTTCGAGAACACTGTCCAACCAACTTTGTAACCAGAGGTTCAACTGAATAGAATCTGAATCACATGCACCACAAGGCCTATGCAGCCTCAACTTAAGATGGCTCCCCGGCCTGGCTTTGCACTGCAAAGTTTGCAGCAGCACGTGCAACAAAATGGCGTCCAGCATTCAAAAAAATCCTCAGCTTGCATTAACTAGCCACACACAAGGCATGCAAGCTCCACCCCCAGTCATTCTTAGACTTCTTATTGGGTGAGCAACACAGCCAAGCAACACAGTTGGAGCCTCCCTCCTCCCTGGCCGGCAGGGAGGGAGGGAGGGAGAGGAGCTGCTTCCTTTGAAATTTAAGGGACATCGTTTAAGGGACATTTAAGGGACATCCATCAATAAGGGACAGCAGCGGGACATGGCGCTGAAATAAGGGACTGTCCCTTCAAATAAGGGACACTTGACAGCTATGAGCTGGAGCCTCTTCCAGTGCACTGCCCATGCTTCCAGATTAGCCTAATCTTACCAAGTTAATAAAAGGATGAACAGCTGAACATAAATTCAAGTACAGTGGTACCTCAGGTTACATATGCTTCAGGTTACAGACGCTTCAGGTTACAGACTCCGCTAACCCAGAAATAGTACCTCGGGTTAAGAACTTTGCTTCAGGATGAGAACAGAAATCGTGCTCCAGCGGCGTGGCAGCAGCATGAGGCCCTATTAGCTAAAGTGGTGCTTCAGGTTAAGAACAGTTTCAGGTTAAGAACAGACCTCCAGAACGAATTAAGTACTTAACCTGAGGTACCACTGTATTCACTACTAACCCGCAAGCCCCTGTTATTCCAGCACTGGGTCCTCCGGGCTCACAAAGCCTTAGTTACTTACCCCACACTGCTCTGGGTTGGCACAGCCCCCTGTTATTTCGTTCTTAGAAACACAGCCTCCTCACACAAAGCTCTGCTAATATCATAACTTGTAAGGCCCCCTGCTGTCGCAGCACAGCCTCATCCATGGAGAAAACTCTCGCATCCTTGTTATATGGACTTGTATTTATGTGGCTAATTATTAAAACTTCGTGCTTGAATCAGCACGCAGAGGAGCAAGCCAAACTGCCCGATCTATCAAGCTATTAGAGTCGACATGCGGCGTGTGAGAGAGGGAGCTTGGGATGAGTTATTAGTGCCCTGGAAATGGGGTGACGAGGCAAAGCTAATAGCTTTCCATTCAAATGATGCCTAAATCTTCAGGCCAAAAGCCAAGGGGAAAATGGGGAGTAGGGTGGGCTGGAGAGAGGCAGAGACAGGAAGCGGGGAAAGATTGAGAAAAGGGAAATGCTATTCCTTTTTTTCTCAGCTTGACGCTAGCTAACTGTAGGTAGGCTGGATGCTTGTCTATAGCAGCTCTAGAAGCTTTCAGCACTAAAAATCGTGGGCATATTAGCCCCACTGACAGACACTGTATGCTTCTTTTTCCAGCCATTAGATTCTTGGCAACGGATGCATGCAGCATTCTAATAAAAGTCAGCAAAAGCAGACAAATGAGAAAATAAATGTAAAGTTGTGACAGTCTCCTATCCCAGGAAGCAGGAATTGATTTATTTATTTAATTTGTGCCCCACCCTTTCTCCCAAACGAGCCCAGAGCAGTAAACATCTGCACATTTTTTTTTGTAAATAAAAGGCATTCTAAAACAGTTTAAGAATTCTAAAAATAGTTGCAGTTAAAAACAGAACTGAAAGCAGAACACTTCCTTTCTACCTCCCCCATCGTAATGTAAGATATATTTGCAGGAGTGAGGTGAATGGCACCCAGGGCATAATTTCTGCATGCTAAACCCAATCCAAACTAGGATTAGGGATTGTGGAGAAAGCTGACTGAAATGCCACTATCCCTCAAAATTCTCACTTCCCTGCAGTTCTCCAGCCTCAAAATATATGCAAAAATTTGTATTTTAAGGGAAGAATGGCTAAAATACATTTTTAAGGAAAATAACATACAAAAATACATTGTATTAGAGGAAATTGCTTGCAAAAATACTTGTATTAGTCAAAATTGGCTACAAATATGTACATATTAGGATAAATACACACTAAAATATGGAGGGAAATTGTGAGGTATTTTTTTTTTAATGACAAACTGAATTTAGGAATGGAAAAAATGAGAAACTACTAGAAAACAAAACGTACTTATTCGTACATCCTGAACTGGCTTAGGACTAGGGTGCTCCTCTCTTTCATTTTTCCAAAGCAAGACCAAGGCATCACGCTGCCCTGGTTTCAATTCGGTGAAGGAGGGGGGGATTATCCTATAAATTAATAAGGAACTCATTCTCCGAGTGTGGGTTCTTACGTAGCCAAAATAGAACCATCCACACATAAGAGGGAGAGATGTGATGAACAGAGTTGGGGGAACCTCATGGTTCACAAAGTACAAATATATTTAAAGAAAGAAAACTAAGGCCAGGCGGGGTGTGGTGGAAGACTCGTAGCAGCCTACTGAGCATGTTCAGGAGGCATGGACTGCTGACTGCTGGTTTAGAATTTCAAATCCCTGATGTTCACTGGGAATTGTACCACTGTGAAGGGGAAACTACAGTTCCCATGATTCTGTTGGAGGGGAGGGAGAGTCCCCTAGCCTACCAACCAAGGCTGTAGTGATGATTAAAGGACTGAGCTCACTGGAGAAAAATGTAGATGCAGATTAAACAAATAAATCCAACAGAAAAATTAAGGAGGAGTGCTGGGCTTGCCTCAATTTGTTCCCCAGGGGGCAGACCCAAGCAATGGACATTGGCTGGTTGAGCCCGCCCCCGGGGGAATCCCCAGACCCAGGCTGGCGTGCCGTAGGTCCATCTGCAGCCAGGTCTCCAGGCCTACCCAGCTGACTGCCCAATCACTGACCAGGCCCGTGGCCAGGCCGCAATGCCGCCTGACCATTTAAGGTAAACAGATTTAGATGCAGATTGTTAAGTTGTGGGCGAACATATCAGACGACACAGCGATTCTTCCAAAGCAGCTCTTTATTTGTAAGCTGGAACAGAACTGACTGAGGAGCTCAGTCAGCCTGCTTATATAGAGCTCCAGAACAATGTAACTGTTGCCATTTTCTAAAACTATCCAATCACTGAATGTCACTTTCGATCCTTCATTTGCATACAAACTATCCAATCACTGAACGTCACTTTCGATCCTTCATTTGCATAACTATCTACAGTATCCCCCTGCTGGCCCAGGGTGAGAACTTCAGTACATAACACAGATTAAACAGATAAATCAGTATCGTAAAGATTGTTTTTTAAAATGTGTGGTGGTGAGAAGACCTCTGGCAGAGATTGGCTGAGCTGCTGTAATGCTTAGGAAGGAGGAATAGAAGCAGAAGGTACTTGCAAAGGGGGAAATGTCTGTGTCTCATGAAGCAGCAGATTAAGGGAAGGTGGGATTGGAAAATAAAGCAGAGGGGAAGTAATGGCTAAGACATAGCTGTCAACGTTTCCCTTTTTTTAAGGGAAATTCCCTTATTCTGAATAGGAAAAGGGAAAAGTTGACAGCTATGGGCTAAGAAAATCCAAGGAAAGAGGAGGAGGAGGATTCTGAGACAGGAAGGGTGGGCTGGTGGGGAAAACGTGCATGGCCAGGAACTTCAGCAGCAAGGAAAGCAGAAATTCACCTAGACTGATTTGAAAGGACTCCAAAAGGGAATGAGGACGGGTAGTATGTTTTGTGGGCATCGTTCATTGTGTTTACTTTTGCTTCAAGCAAAGTAAAAAGGGAGTGTGCGATTCAGGTTTGAGAAGTGAGAAGTTGGTGGGCAGATAGTGTTGCCCTGTGATGGTGTGATAGTGTTTGGTGCTTTCAAATTCTACGGCTGTTTTCACACTGAGCATTTACTGTGAAATAGCCTCGCTTTGTTTACTCACTTTTTATGGAGCAACTGCATGACATCATGAACAAAACACACTGCTCTTAATGCTTTTTTTTCAGAGCTAAGAAAATCCCAAGTATTTTAACTTCATGGAACAGCTCCATAATTTCCCCAGATGTAGAATAAATCAGGCAGCTGTTCAGTAAATTT